ATTCCACTGAAAGAACTACCTACAGGACCCCAAGTATCTCTTTATTAACTGTACTACCAGCTTAAAAAAGAGGAAGGAGTCAGAAATGCAGAATCCAAATTCTTCACGTGAATGTATATACAAACGCAACGATACGCCTTAAAAGATTAATTTCACAAGCCTTAAATTGCAGTTTAATTTAAAAACTAATTCAGCCTCATAATTGGCTTTCTGTTCAAATCACTGAGGCTAAAGATTTAAATTCTTAATATTCAGATGACTTTCAAGTTTCTGGCCCCATCTGTGCGTTAGTCCATGGTCTTAATCTCTAAGGAAATCTTTGCTGGCATAGAAATAAAATAAACAAACTGGGACACTAATAGAATAATCGGCTTTTAAAATCCCTGGTATTATATATACTGCTTATTTTTATGAGATTTCTTTAACTCAATTTGCCACATATAGATTTGGCTCCCAGCTATTTCATTTTTTAAGTGGCATCACTACCAACAATTATTCTACGTGAATTCCATGGAATCAGGAGGAGATGGAGCAGTTTTAAATTACCCCATTTTTCATACATGAAATGCTAATATTCCTTTATTTTGGAGGATTTATTTTGGCCATACATAGAACTCTTCCACACCGCTCACTTTGAGGGCGGCAGGAAAAAACTCTCCTGCCTACACAATACCCTGAGAAGAAAGGAGATGGCTGAAATCTTAGTTTAAAAGAAGTCACTTGGAATTTGCTACTGACTTGAAAAGGTTCGAGATGTATCCAGAGAGTTAGTGAAGCGGAAAGGATGGATGCGAATGGAAAAGGCCAATCTGACAGGAACAAATGGTTTTGGAGAGATGTGTTAATTTTTGACAATCTTTCAGTTAAAACAAAGCAGATACAACCCAGAGCAAAGCACTCCGGTCATCACGGAGTGCTTCACAGTGACCTTTTCAGAGCCAAAAGGCTTTATCAGTTAAGTGATACATCCATATTCAAACGCAAGGTAAACTTTGTGCTGGGTTTACCAAGACCAAACTTTTGAAGCAACCAAAATATTTTTTCCTGTATTTTTTTTTTTTTAGAAATCTATCATTTTTTAATATATATATATATTTAAGTGGTTTTATTCTATTTTGTAGTGTATTTTGGGGGGAATTATAGAGAATTTCTGTGGATTCAGCCCTCMTGCTCCTCCCCAGGGCTACACCCGGGATGTTACCAGCCCAGCTGCACTGGCTAGGGCCAGGGCAGGCAGCAAACAGCGCTGCACAATGGGGCAAAAAGATAAAAAACACCCCAAAACCTAACACATTTCTGCCATAAACCCTCAGGGCCGGCAGCAACACRGATGGGGTTCAGCAAGGAAGCCCTGTGATCCCGAGCTCTTTGTCAGGAAAGTTCTGCAGTGAGCAGAGAACTCTGCTGATTAAGGCTGCCGGGGGGAGCAGGGGGATTTCAGCTCCAGCTTGCAGCTGCATTTTTAAAACGTGGCTCTGCTCCTCATCTAGAGGCAAAGTTCAAAGAAGCAGAACRTTATTCAGTGCGAGTAAAACACGGCCTTTTAAGATACACTTTCAAACAGCAGCACATTAAATCAAAACAAGTTGTAGGGGGAAGAAAGAGGGAAGATTGGACCCGGGGAAGAGAAAATCCTGCATCACTGCTGATGCTCTTCATTTTTGGAAAGGCCTGAGTCTGAACATCTGAACTGTCCAGTTGCATAACCTTAAGCTAGATACACTGGAAATACAACAAAAAGTTTTCCAGAGAGTATCAAGAAAGGAAAAAAAGCAAAGCAGTTCCACCCCACAGCCAGCCCCTATTTAAARGCGCACAGGGGCCAGACACATATGTTCACATTAAGGAGAACTCCACTCCGCAGGGATGAGCCCATGATTTCAAAAACACTATACACAGGTGTGAGAAGCTACTTCAATTATTATAATCCTGGCTAGCAGCAACAATCTACTATAATAATAACAATAATACCTGATGTTTGTTTTCTTCTTCCTATCCAGGGCTGGTTTCAAGGTGACTTGCATGTGCAGAGCTCTCCTTGCACGGGCACTTGGAGTGCTCCGTGGGCTGAGAAGCTGCTTCTCCTAAACGAGTATCCGACTGTCTCCAGCGAGTCTCCTCACCCTGCTGCCAAATCTTTCTGCTCTTGGAAACAGCCCATTGAAGGTTACTTGTGGGCTAAAATAAGCTTCCTTCTTCCTCGGGAGGCTAAGTGCCCAGCAGTGCCCCTCTCCTCCGGCCCCAGCGCGGAGCACCCGGCCCTCCCTGCGCTCCCGTTTGCTTGGTTCACGGCACGTCCCCATGGGTCTTGGCTCTGGGGTCTGCAGGTCACAMCTTGCTTGGCCAGCCTGTCACCGCAAGGACCCGGCCCCGCGGGGCCCTTTCTCRTTCCCTTTGAACGTGATCTGCTCTATTGATCCTCTTCAACAGCCTCACATGGGCATCTCAAGGTCAGGGCGCTCTGCTCGCTCCGTGCTCAACGGCAGACTTCTGATGGTTTTGCTCTGGGAAATTTCCATGGGTAGAGCCCAAGCTCTTTATGTTCTCCCCCATTCTGTCCTCTTTCCCAGCAGGCAAAATTCCTGCTCCCTTCAAATGGGCACTGGCTGCCCTCAGAGCTACCATTTCTTTGGGATACTCTAGTGACTTTCCTCAAAAGAAGCAAACAAAATAATTAGAAGTATCACAGACACCGTGGTAATTGCAAAACACTGTCTCTTTCACCACAGCCTTTCTACAGGGGTGTGTATGTGTGAAATAACAATCCTATGGGATGGGATCCAGGGAGGGACTCCCAGTTCCCAGGGAAGTCCCTGCAAAGAGRTGAAGCTGGATGCTGAACTCCTGTATCATAGAGCCAGCTTTTTAGTYGGCTTGAGGCAAATTTGTACTTTATACAGATACACACACACATATATTTCTAAATGTGTACATAGACATAGATATATATAAAACTTACTGCATCAATACGTGCTATCTGCTACCTCTCAGACTATACCAGCGCTGTCATTTGTCGATCATTGCAACAAATAATTATGAATTCTGGCTGCATATTTGTCTCTTGCAAAGACTGCTGCAGCACCTCCTCAGTACTATAATATTCGGAAGCAGCTTGGACTATAAAGGAAGCTTCCAAATCTCTGCGAGATCGATGCTTAGCTAAATACATTATCTCGACTTGTCTCTACATAAAACAGGGATACATTACTCGGAAGCAAATGAGCACACAGGCACATGCAGTAACTCTGTGACCTTCCTATCATTTTCTCCAAGATGTAACATCCTGATTATTGCCGTGTACACGGAACGAGGGCCTCCGATACCTGTGTTCCCAGGAGGCTCYACAGAAGCAAGGAATAGAAATTCAATACTAATATAAACCTTTAAAAGAATACTGATTAAACAGGAAGGGGAGAGAAAACAAATACATCAAAGACAAATGTAATTGCTTTTGAATAAAAACAGATTGGTTTCTACCTACCTGCCTTAAAGGCAGGCACTCCAGTCTGGGATGCAGAATACCAAAAAGCACTGGTAGAAGCAGACGCACAAGCATTTTGTAGGCAAATGTATCCTGTTCTGATTTAATAGCTCAAAGGCTTATCTGGATTTCAGACAAGAAGAGGATGCAATTTACTGCTTCTATCACACAAACGAGCAGAGCTAGTTAAAACATTTGGGAACACTTTGAATATTGATTTAGACTAGAATAAGATGTAAAAAAAATTTGATTTGTTATGGAAAAGGCGTTTCAGGCTTCAAACCTTGATGTGCTCCAAAGTGGCCTTGAACTGAAAGAAGGAAGAATCCTCTTGGGAGAGGTAAAGCATATCCAGAAGGAAGGTGCACCTATATCTTCCTCCAGAATAATGTCATGCTGCATCTCCAATACATGTCACCAGAGCAGCCCATTCCTCACAATGCCAGAAGACCATCAATCACGACTGTGATTCACTGTTAAAAATAGGGGCCACTCGAGACTTTTCTATGACACCTCTGGCAGCAGAGAGGCCGTGATAAATGTCTGCTCGCACGAAACAAAAATGACATGGTCCTTAACCTCCAACTGGCAAACAACTGGACCCAAAATGATCTAGGAAAAATCTCATTCAATTTTCACAATCTAATTTCTACTTCCATAATGATACATTCATATTAGTTGTGTTCAGCAATAAGCTAAAACAACCTCCTTGGTGTAACGCAAATGGAATAGTTTGAGCTGCACTCCAAGAACCATTCAGCAATATAGTTGGAAAGAAAACATTAAAGGTCCCAACAACTGCCTTTTTCCAAAAATATAAGCAAGTTAATGTAACTTGAATTCTGTGCATGACACACACATCTTTTCACCTGTACATTTTCTGAACATTTCTAGGTTTTTGCCCATTCACCTTTCGTAAGAAAATATCTATGGGAATGGGGGATAAGACAGCAATTTCAAYTGGAATAACCCAGCTGCCTTTGTAGGTTTGCACCAGGCCCCAAGCAAGAAAATAACTTCTTCACACTTTGCAATACAGCCTTTATTGGAGTTTGACCAGGTGCCAGATATTGAGCTTGCAAACGACTGGATTAAATACCAAGCAGTGAGATATCGAGCATCTYGGGCACCCGGCCAGGCAGAGGTCACCGCTGGGCTGGTTTCTTTTGAGAACTTGCTCCTTATTTCAGGATTTTGTAGCTASAGTTAACAGCACAGAACAAACGCGACATGCACCTGACAGGGGCAACACTAAGAACTGCTCTACAGAACTGTTGCTGCTGCAAATTACACGTACAGGAAAAGATTATAAAAGTTTAGGTTTCTTCTAATCYCAAGTCTGCACTTTCTCTACCCAAAGAGATTTCAGCTGAATAACTGTAATTTCCATCAGTGTCAAAGCAAAGGGCCAGAAACACAAAACCAATCCTACAAGTCCTGTATTTCAGAAGGAAGCAAAGCTACTGGGTCAGATTCATGTTTGAAAGCTTACAACTCTTAAGAATTTCTTCAGCCGTACCTGGTTTAGAGCCTTCATCAACAGATCCATTATAGACCTGGTTGATAAACTCCGGCCTGTTGTCATTCATATCAATCACATAGATGTAAAGGTCAATAGGATTCTCCACCTTGTTCCCATTCATATCCACTGCGTGAGCTCGGAGCTGGGAATAAGCACAAGGAAAACATCATGTGAGCAGCAGGATCTGACACAGAATAAGACACTGCGTTTTGTTAAGAACCAACTCCACAAATACTTTCCCAATAACTTGAAAAATCTGAGTTCTGAAATCGGAGCTGGCAATATCTGAATTCCAGATATTTCCAGCAGAAAGCAGCAGTGTGGTTTCCATCTAGGCTCTATAGCTASACTGATTTTCAAGCATTACAATAACCAGAGCCACAGCACTCTGTCCTCATTTGAAGTGGGGGCTGCGGCTCGATTGTATTAGCAAAAACCATCAGTAACRGGGCTGGAAAACAAGAGCATCTGTTTTCCGAACAAAGCGGACAGCTACGGCATGTCAAAATGAGTAATTAATAAAACAAAGCAATCAACAATAGTCTGGAGCGCTCAGTAATCAGGTGAAACAAATGGATAGCTCTTTCATTAGAAGGAACAGATGGCAGCGTGCGCTGCATGGAGGCGGCCACGCTGGGCAAGGGCTGCGCAGAGCCCCGTCCTGCCCCATGGGTGCTGGGCATGAAGCTTGGGGACACCACGGAGGGGACACCACAGACGGACCCTGTCCCTTGGGTGCTGGGAAGCACCAGTGACCTGTCAGCCGCCCCGGGAAGCTTCCCGGCCTCTGGAGTGTTGCGGCCYGGCTCGGGATGCTCCGCGCTGCCGAGGAGGGCTCTGGCGCACGACGCGTGACAAATAAACGTGCTAATTGCATTAGTGCTCGCTTCGGTCCTCTGCTTCTGCAGCGCCCGTGATTGATGCCGCTCTCTCCTTCATGTAGGTGTTCTGAAGTTCAGGGCTTATAAAAAGCAGCTGCGCTCTGTTATGAYGGGTTGGATTAACGTTTAATCAAGCAAAGAGCGCAAACTGCCAGGTGAAATAAGCTAGTAGAAAAATACATTTTAAAGGAAGTTAAATAACACCTTTTCTTTAATGACTGAAGGAATCTGGCTTCATTTTCAGCCAGGATGTACCATTCGTATTTCAGGATTTGCAATGCTCTTAATATCTGCATCCCTTGCCTGCATACAAACTGCTCTGATTCCCGCCTCTTGAGTTATCCTTCATCATGTCAGATGTAGCCATTCAATAACTTCACAAGTCAAAGGTCAGACTGCCTTTGAAATAAAATAATTCGGAGCTAAAATTAAAGTTATTATCTTCAAACTGCGGCAGCGTTGGGCTCCTTGCCGTATTTTCAGGAGCGGAAACAGTTCCATTTGGAGATAAAGCTGAGAGCAAMGCTGCTATCTTTCCCCTCGGATCTGCCTCTCCCTCTGCAAAGTTTTAATTACATTTGATAGCTTTTGTTTGAAAGCCCCAGGAATACAGCCTTGCCCAGCACCACGTTTCTACCTGCCAGGCACACACAGCAGGTTCCTGCAGGTTCCTAACAGCAATCCCGTTAAACCTGCAGYGGGGCTTGGGAGGCCTTGGGTCCAACAGCAGTATCAGGAGCATCATGACTCAGGCTGAGTCATGACCTTCCCAAGCCTKGCACACCACCGTGTTCACCTGCGCCCAGCAGGAACCCCAGCAGGAACCTCAGAACGTGCTTTCCTCCACCCACTAAACTCAGATGGGCTCCACRGGAACATCTCTATGATGGGACACACCAGGTACATGGTGTCAACCAGGACCACAAGACACAGGTTGCACAGAACTATCCAAACAGCAGAGACAAGCAGCACTTACAAAGCTGGCTCTCAGTATCTACCTTGCCTCCAGGAGGGAGAACATGACCTTGGAGAAGAGGTAGAGAAGGAATAACCAGTATCATTTTAAAAGAAACCCTTTCCAGAGGATTTTACAAAACTAACAGAGGTTAAACCTCTAACTAGTGCATCCTTCCACTGTGCATCAGCCAAAGACCTGCCTAGATAGTCTTTAACAAGTATTTTTTTAAGGTTTGACATTCACTGCTGTCATATTTAGCAGCAGCTACCACAGGTCTCTGGAGGTTTTGCTACTGAATTTCCAGTGTAAATGTAGCTGTTGAGATACAAAYGATTTGGTATCACCATTATTGATTACACTGGAGGCTGGTGGTATCTGAATGTAGTTACTCAAAGTCAACACAGCAAACTGTTAAATATGAATATTACTTATGCACTAATACTATTAATACAAATATACATTATCAATCAGTGACAGAGCCTTTAAACAATAACCTACAATGTCACACCTAATTTGTGTGTTCTTAATTTTGATTAAAAGTACAAATTAAAGTACTGTGACACAAAGGGCTGGCAACGCTCATTAGGATTTGCTGCAAAATACTGGCATTAGCTCTTTTCTACCTTAATTTCTAGTAATGTTTTTTGCCCCTCTGCACCTCATTGATTCCTTCTCAGAGTACAAGCAGCCTGTCCTGCTCCAGCCATTTCTGAGAGAACATTTCAGCAGTCTGGGTGTATGTGTGGGTCAGGGACTGCATTCACACTCCACACACTGCATCCTGCTCGAGCACCGACCACCTCTTGACAAGTTGATAGTGACGGCCTATATAACAAAGCTTGAAAAAGGTCTTGAAAAAAGAACCCGACAATTTACTCACTGCTGGCACTTGTCAGAGCTACCTGCAGTTTGGTAAGAAACTGGGGTCTGAACCAGAAAAAAAACACTCAGAGTCACTAATCCTGCCACCAGTAGATACAGGACTTTGGAAACTCAGTTAAATAAGGCCAAAAATTCATGTCCAGTAAATACTACCACGCACTGAAACTTTGCACCTCTCTGATCCCAGTTGCAGCTGATCTGTGCTTGGGACATCTGGAAGGTCCCTGCAGAGTTTGCACTCTGGTTTGCTGAGTGGGACCAAAAGGAGACGAGGCCAAAACACGTCTGGACTTCCATCACTGCTGCTGCCACGTGTGGGGGTCAAGCTGATGCAGGAGGGTTCCAGCTGCACACACACAGCGAGTCCCAGAGAGGCCCCTTTGGAAGGATCCTCCCAGACAGTTCAGGAGAGCCCAAGACTCGGGGAGACGTTGTGCTGCAGAGCTTCTAAACCAATTTAAAAAAAAAAAAAAAAAAATCTATTTCACCCCAGGGAGAAAGGTAGGTTTCATCAGATGAACAACTTGCTAAACGCGGAGAGCTGAAATACTAGTATTTTAAAAAAAGGTAGTCCCGAAGCAATCCAGGTAATTATGCCTAAGAAAATGTGTTGAAAATGTGGGAGTTAATGAAATAGAACTCTGATATGTAGCCTCACAAACACTTACAAATTATTATTATTTTTTTATAATTAGTTTTTAGATTACCTAGAAATGAAAGCAGTAAGGGCAACACCCAATGGTGAGCGAGGTGCTGGAAAGGCTTCCTTTTCTGCTTAAGACTGCAGGGAAGCTGCAGCTGCACCAATGTCCCCCATTCGGCCCATGCAGGGCTCCCTGAGGACAGGGACCAGGGACAGAGCAGCTCCACCAACACCAGYCGAGATCTCAGCTCCAGAGCTCTGCTAGTCTGAGCTAAAGAAAAACTCTACAGTAGGCACCAGAACAATGTAAAGACCCATTTATGTCCTTGTTTTATGCGTGATACATTTATACATGCTTTGTGAAGGGTTTTTGAATGAGCAGCTGATGGTTCAATCCATCCTGGATCAATCGTTACAGATCCCAGAGGATCTAGGGGTTGCTTTCTGCCATGCCTTAAGCGATCTCTATCACCTTCTGCTGCCCAGTGTCATCTATAAGGTGCTCCTAACAAAGTGCTCATTTACCAGCTACCTGTTTCCTGTAAATTATATGTTTGTGTAACCTGCAGAGTGTGAAGATGCTTATTTATGTCTGGAGGTTACAAATTCCAGGTGGGAAACTGGAAGGACTCGGAATCCTGCAGTAAGAAGCTGACTTACCCCAGTCACCTTTGCCAAGGTCAGAGCACAGGGCACTGAACTCAGCGCAATTGGCAGGGCAAGCCTGGTATTAAGCAGCATATGATTTGTTATTATGGGGAACAAATCCTGTCCATCCTCTATTTTGGACTGAGTCTAACATTAGACATCATAGTGTCTCCATCAAAGGTGTTAACTTGTGAATTGTATTACTGAAGACACTGCTATAATAATCTGGCACTGCTGAAACGGTATCAACACTGAAATGGCATGCACTGTATCTCAAATATTCCCTTTTCAGAACAGTTTATCTTCATATTTTCCTAGGCACAACAAGCAAAATAACTGTTCTTGTTCATGGAGGTTAAAACATTTTTCCTTATGGTTCTCTCTCACCCAGGGGAAATCTCCTTTTCTACCCAACTAAAGTGATAATCCATTTTCTTTATCCTTCCATCCCAGCCCAGAAGCTGTGTCAACACGGTTAGCTGGACACCGGATAAAGCTGGCAGACCAGGCAGCTCCGAGGGAGCAGTTGGGAATACGGTGTCAACAGAAGTGACTCGTACACGGCGCTGGCATTAGAGCATCCCTGGGAATGGCTATTACRGCACCAATGGATGCACTTAATGCTGACACAAAGCACTCCATGAAATGTCCTCCTGCRACCACACCAGGAAAGAACTAAAGCCCAGATGCAGAAAGCAGTGAAAATTTGCAGGTCTCTCATGCAARAAACAATATTTTTTTAGGCTATTTGTGGGACTGTATCTGTTGTGCAATTATCGTGAGCAATATAGAGACTACGATTTAGATCAAAACCTAATGACCAATTACACTGTAAGTATTCTGCAGGTAGAGCATTTTACAAGCTAGGATAGCGTATGGAAGCACTTTGAGTGTAATTAATCTTAATTAATTCCCTCATATTTAGTATTAGTCTATCTCCCTATTTAAAAATGTATCTGACACACCCCCATCATACTGCCTGAATGTCTCCTAGTGATTTAAAATGAAAAATGACTATGCCAATTATTGCATGTTTAGCTGCGGTAATGATTCATAAATCAGTAATTTCCCAAGACATGCTAGAGTAGAGATTGGTTTCTCATGGTTCTGGGGAGGGGGTCCAGTCCACATAAATTCCCAGGGATATAATGAGTGCGAAGCTGCATCATTTCAAATAAATGATCGTGATTTTTTTTGTTTCCAGAAAGGACATTAGTTTCATGCCCCTTCGAGCACTTTTGCTTTGAGTTTGCGACCTCAGAGCCAGAACTCAAGGTGTTTTTCTGTTTCTCCTGGCATCTCACACTTACGTGGTAGGAAGCCCGTTCTTCTCGGTCCATGGGCCGGGTCACGTACATCCTGCCCGACACGGGGTCGATGCTGAACACCTCCATGGGCGGCTGGTCGGCGCCCACACCCGTGATGCTGTATCTGATGTGGATCTCCTTGTCCTTGTCCGAACGGATCTGGATGAAAGAGCAAAGGCAGCAGTCGTAAGTTAGAGACAAAAGCCGTGAGGAAATTTAAACAACTCTACAGATCTGAGTCTGAGAGATGCAGAAATGTGATGCTGCTGTCAAATTTGGCAARGGAGCCATACAGCAAAAGTTTGGGAAAATGCCAGCAAAAGAGCATACCACAGATTTTTAGCCATTTTTGTCTTTTACTCATAATGATTTTCCAGGAATTATTGAAATTTGGACTGTTTTGGCTCAGGTGTGGAAGCACGTGCTTTCACAGAAAATTCCTGAAAATCCAGGCCCTGTAAAATGCCCAAATCGGTCAGGAACAGTGGGCACCTCCCAGCCATGACCAGCTTTGGAAAGCGCTGTCTCCAGCCTCCCGCGTTACCTCCACCCGTGCACATGGATGCTCCCACGGCAGTCAAGGAACGGAGCTGGGAATGTTGCTGCTCCACTGGACTATTTGCTGTGGAAAAGCATTTTGGCACCTTGATTTTGACAGTGTCATTTGAGCTCGGAAACTGGTCCTTGCTTTCCAGGAGGGAAAGACCAGCAGGAGAGCAGGGTGTCCCCCCAGCCACCGCCAGGACCGGAGCACCAGCCCCCTCCACAAAATCCAGCTGGAAGCAATTTTGACTGGAATTGTGGATGGGGAGATGGTTAGTTCTTTACGGGCATTTTTATGCTCTATTTCCTGTTGCATATAGTACCCAGATTTCGTTATGATAGAAGCATTAGAAATGCATAGAGACAGACAGAAACATGGAAAATGAGGTTGGATTTAAATATTCAGTGCTGAAGGCATTGTATTTTCAGGAAACACAGATAAACAGAAGCTCTCTAAGAAAACCATGTACAGTTTAATAAAGTGTATGCTATGGGTTGTCCTTGCAGCACTTTTATTAGCATTAATAAGGTCCAAGCTCTCTGTATGTAAATCATTGCAGATCTAGGAGATGAAATATATCATAAGATCCACATGACCTACCCAATTATACTACRAAAAATCCGTGAGATAATTATACTGCATCGAGCAAAATAAAGACACGGGGAAAATATGGTGCAAATATTCGTTGATGACTCATTATTTGCTGTTAATTGCCAATGCACTACAATGCTCTGCTAGTTACCGGTACTTAATTCCATTTCCAGCAAGGAACAGGAACAAGAAAGCACYAGTGGCGAAGTGGCATTTGTCATGGAAAGGCACAGGGACCATTGACAGGGAAGCACAGCACATACTCCTACCAGGGAGACAGTCACAAAGGCACGAGCCCTCGATATGGGAACGTGTAATTCTGGCACGCTTAATGAGTTTTTTTTTTTTTTTTAAAAGAATTCTCTCTCTTTTTTAAAAAACAATAATCCTGTAACATTTTGACCAAAGGTTTAATTTGCATAATTCCCGGGGTGCAATTTAGTAAATCTTATTGAGAAGTTAAGAACATTATTTGAATACAATGTAAGGTTTACTTCTTTTGTTGAAACCATTACTGCAGCAGTTTACCATAATAATAATAATAATAATGATAGAAAAGCTCTATTCCCACAGAACTCACTAGATCAGGAGAAAAAATTACTGTTTGGGGGAATTTACTCGCTCAGGAGAGAGTTGCTTTCTCATTCACTTATGCCTGGCAAGCACGAGGGCGGGAACATATCTGYATTATAATATTCTGCCTGCAGAACATGCACACGGATTTTATTCATTTATCTTTCATTTTACACCGCAGTCCCCAGCTATGCTTGGTTCTGGGTTAGGGAACAGATGGGAGGAAGATGGTTCTCCTCGCTTGTATTTATACATCTTTCCCTCGGAGGAGCCGTGGAGCTTCTCCAGCGCCAGGCACCCTCCGACCGCATTCCCAGGATGCGGAAACCCTGCCCTGTGTTGGCAGATAAAAATCAGCTCCAACTGACGGTAACTCTACCCAAGAGAGGGCAGCAACCCCTGGTTCAGCTCTCGTTTCTACAGGGACATCCCAGGAAAACAAGAAATTCATTCGATTTCACAGATGGGCATTYTCCACTGAAGGTTCTGGTACAATAAGCGAAAAGTGTGAAAACGAACGCTGCAAAACTTGAGATAATACTCACGGAGCCAAGCTGGCTTCCTGCCTCGTAGTAGTGTTGCATTTAAATGGGCTCGAAAAGCAGCCTGCCTGCGACGCGGGATCGCCTCCCACTCCTGCTGCTGAAATCCTAGGGTTTCTGCATCTCTGTGCATTAACTAAAGCCAGTTTAGCTAAAACGACATAAGGAAGAGCTTGCATGGGCGCAGCAGCAAGGGAAGGAATGTGTATTTTACTCTTGGAAATGGACAGAATGGACTTAGTTGAATTTCTTCCCCTATGATCTGGTCCCAAATGATGGGGAAGCAGTAACATGCAGGCTAACCTATTTCTTAAGCTGTTTCCACACTTGTAAATGTGGAACTGAAGCCCTCCTGGAGGTTTAGGTGCCTACGAGTAAACGGGGYTGTATAAATTCACGTGGATTAGTAAAATGAAATCCCGTGTCAGCATTTTTGTTGCAATGTAGCAAAAACTAATCTGCAAGCTAGATAAACTGCTAAAATAAATCCCAGGATAAACTGCCAAGTCATTTCCATGTAAGAGCAGGGAGCAAGGGCATGGGTGGCCCTTTCTCTTAATGCTCACTTGGTGGGAATTAACTCTTGGTCTCCTGAAGATAAATTTATCAGACATTCAAGCTCAGTGCTGGTGTATCTTGGTGCCATATAACGCTTTCTGGTGTACACAGCAATTCTTTTTATATAATCTATTAAACATGAGCCCTTTAAAATCACAGGCAGGTGTCAGTGGTCTCAGCTSTGCCCACCACTGCCAGTATATGGAAGTAACTGGAAATGTAGCTACAGAAATGTATCTACAGAAAACAAGACAGAAAATTTATACGATGCTGCACTTTCCATTCACAGAGCAAGCTAAAAAAAATAAATCTCCTTCTAAGTTCTCTAACTTGTTCTTTAATGACATGGTTTTACAGAATGCCCTTGAAGAAAATACTTCATTTCCCAAATTTCCCATGAAGTATTTTGAAACATCTGCACTAACATGACCTGGGGAGCTCTGGACCTGATTTTTTTTTTTTTTTTTAAATAAAATCCATTATTAATGAACACATAAAATAAYGTAAATGACAAGCAATAAGTGTCTTTTATTATTAAGCTCTTAGCTATTTTGCCCATTAAGAAAACCAAATTAAAATAACTGAAAACTAYAATCCATCATGCATTCAAAATGCTCCATAGAACTTCAGACAGGCAAACATATTCGAAGTCTTTAAATGAGCACACTTAAGAGTCAGTCTAAGCATCCCAGCACTGGCTCATTAATTTTAGTGGAAATATTTTAATTCAGCTACATCTTACTGCTTATTGAAATCCCTACTAAGGATTTACTTATTTTTAACTGAATTTGCAGTATATTTAAGAGTCACTTGTATAAAAGTCCCTAATTTTCATTTACCAGTTGGTTTACAAGCCAGTAAAGGGAAAGATCTCCAGCCTCGTGTTTCCGAACAGATTACTGCACATTGCTTACTGAATCACGTATTTTTTCAATAAGCACGTGCCSAATTCAAGCAGACAGGGAAAGATAAAGACAGACTTAGAGACCCAATTAGGTTAAGGTGATATTTATTAACTTCTGTCGCCTTTTATCACCCCTGCCAATGATCCCAAGCCAATTCCTAGAAATAAGGAAAAGAACRAAAGAGCCTCTGAAATTCCTCAGCTCCCTTCAAAGAAGCCCATCTTAGTCTGTACCTTAACACCGGGTGGAGGGGGCAGCCGCTCTCAGGACGCCAGCCCTGCCAGGTCTCTGTCTTCACTTGCAAAAACCTCAGTAAACTGCAATTTGTTGCATGGTCTTCATCATTAAATAATAAYGCAATTTTCATTACTCGTCCTTATGAAGGTCAAGAAGCTAACGTGCCTGTATCAGAAACTGGCCCATGCTAATGGATCTTCCACATCTAATGATAAGTGATAGGGCAGAGTAATTTCTAAGGCAACACGGGCTCTTCCGCAGCCTCCCTGCAGCAGGCCCAGTTTTCCAGCCCTCCTCTATGGCAGCGCTTCAGCGTGCAGCAAGGCGAGCGAGGGAGGAGAGGCTACGACGGGTCGAGAAGATTATTTCAAGATTGGCAGAGTATCACAACGTGAACGACGTTCTGTCACTGCCAGAGAACTGCTGGCAGAGGCAACAAACCACATTTTGACTCGTCTCTCCCTTATCTGGGGTTACAAGCGGAGAGATTCGTCAGTGCCACGYGCGGGTGACTTGTGGCCCTGCGAGCCAAGGCTGGCTCACAGCGTGCGAGACACGAGCGGTTGTTGCTTACTAGGGGATGTGACCCACATGGACAAGTCCTCCTCTGCTGTAGGAGATATTCCAYGACGAAAGGTCAAGCAAAACTCCCAGAGGTCAAAAACAGAGGCTGAGAAAGAGTCACGACTTCCAGATGCGTGAAGAACATTATTCATGACCTATTTATGGAGGAATACACACTGTATCCCATACTTAGGTRCCTTACTGCAGCTGGCCCTATCGCCCGCTGCTACAGCTAGGCCTAAACAAAGACTAAGTCAAATAAAAATAAAGAAAAAATACAGATCAGTGGGACTCTGTGCTCATCTTTCTGAAGCTGCTCCCTCTCTGAGCCTTGTGCAGCCTCCCTTACAAGGTTGGCCTGGCAGAGAGGACTCGGCACCTTCCTGGGAGTAAAACGGAGCACAAAACAGAAGTGCTCCCTGCAGGACACAGGGCCAACAAACAGGGACCTCAGCGGGGCAACCTGATCCCTGTAACTAATGACTGAAGTCCTCAGCTGCTATAAATCAGTGTGGACTCGCTGGCTTCAAACAGGGGCACGCTAATTCACTCCAGCTGAAAATGTGCTCCGCAGTTTAGAAACTGAGCTGTGTATCCTAAGAGCAAGGATCCTTTTGTAGGAGCCCAGGCCACACTCTTTATGAGCCTGCAAGCGGGGACKCAGGGAAAAAGCCAGCACTGGGCAACGGACATGCTTGTACCTGCCTTAAACGAGTATTTCAAGGGATATAATTGGTCCTAGTACGACCTTTACTGTTGTAATAAGTTCTAGTTTTCCCCCATTTTTCCATTTTCCTGCCCTTATATAGCCATGCTGCGAAACACCTGTAGATATTACGGATCATAGGCAAGTGGGGCTGTAGTATGATTACAAATGCTATTCTCAGCATAAAATTAAGCTTTTAGATCTATCTGCAAATAGCTAACAATGAGAAACAACAATAAACCCCTTTAATGTGTATATTCCAGAAAACAAAATCTGCTGAGGCTACTACTTCAGGCACTACTTTGGGATGCTTGCCAGGCAGGACTGTAGAGCTCCGCAGTTTTGTAAGAACCTCTAATAAGTTTAAGCAAGCTCATTCGTTTGGTCTGTCAGGTAGATTACACTGTAGAGCACATATGGAAGAGTTATATCAATGGTTAGGATGCTGGAACCAACAGCTATGAGGAGGCTGAAAGTGAAGTCATGCCTATATATTACAGGAACACCATTAATGAGCATCAATGTAGGCTTAGACTTCAGCATTTACTCTGAACCTATTCACTCCATTAAGGCTGCGTGTGATGGCCATAGTGCATTTCTTGCCTTTTTCTTTTTTYCCCCCCGTGTTATTATTTATTAATTGATAATTTAATTTCTCATGTGGTGAATAACATGCAGTTTCTTCACCATCAGTTACAATGACAAGCCTGGAGCAGAATGGTTTAGGTAAGCAGATTGCTAGTGCTTATGGCTGTAAGACATAATTATGTACAGCCAACTGTGTAACACGCTTGAAAAAATTATAAGCCTAGTCACAGAAATTAAAATTATTTCAAGATGAAGTTGTACAAATACAGCTGCAAAAAGCTGCAAAATCCTATTAATTTATTCCAAGGGTAGTGGGTTTACAGGGGGATTCCACCTCCTCGCGAAAGAAAGTTTAAGTATAGCACATACTGGATCAAAGTATGAGTGTCTGAAGCTAAACACAGCTCCAGAAAACTCTTTCAGCTATTATTTATGTACTCATAAACTTTTGGGCATCAGCTGGGAACTTGGCATGAAGATTCCTTAGCATATCAGGGCAAACATTAAACGCTAAATTACCATATGTCAGCTTAGGATAGTTAATAATTCTACCACATCTTGGACAACTTGAAGGCTTTTCTGAAACTGCTGTCAAATTGCATCTTTCCCTCGATCAATAAAGCAGCACAATGAAATAAGCTATTTGTGGCGTCTGAAGGAATAGATTAGCAAAATACAGTAAATGCAACCAGCAGGGACTAATTCCATTTCTTAACCAGAGATCCCAAATATGCCTGTGAGGAGCCACAGTGAGTTCAGCGAGGTAACGCACACCAGAAAGGGACACGTGCCTGTATATCACCWATATATTCCTTAATTATGGGCATTTCTGGTTTGCCGCTAAGGCTCCCGTGCAAGCCCACGGCTGAGTGTTACCTGCACATCCACCAGCGGTGCTTAATTACTGCAGGAATGATTGTTCCACGCTGCTAGGTCCATCAATCTCAGCCAGGAGAGGAAAATAGAGAGYGACTGCAAGCACAGAAAACCAGCCCAACCTTCTGTTTGTTTTCCAAGCTGTGTAATAGAGATATCTCTGGCAATAGCGAGAATAAGAACTAACCATGATGATGGAGAACAGATTAATAATGTAGGAAATGCAAAAGTTTGCATGCTGGTGTTTATTTAAAGGGGGACCATGAGCCCCAAATTGCACCTCTTAGTCAACACCACTAACACCTAGTGCTACAATAACTAAAACTGATGAGAAGGAGATGGCCTTAGCTCTGTGTATTTAACAGCTCCAGCTTCAGGTTACTTAACGCCTGCAAATTGGGGCCACATGCTCAGGGCAGTTGTATTCCCAGCAAAGCACTTTAGATGAAGGTCAAATCACTTCACCTGCTCCCTGGGTACCCACATAGTGTTGTATCTTTAGCAGATCTAGCCATGGGTTTCCCAAAGTGCATCCCACAGATCATTTGCACCCTCCGAGTCCTGGTGTACAAGCCCTGAAAGGAGTTTTTTTCTTGGCACATCCCCAAAGCAAAGGCAGCAATTGTAGATGATTCCCCAGCCTGAGCCTCATGCGTGATACCAGCGATGGTCCCAGCAGAAGAGGCTGACACTTGAGCATGTGGTTATTATTTCTGGATACACTTCCTCTTTCTTCTCCAGAACAACCTTTAAAATGATCAGTAGCCAGTATAGGAAAAAAAGGCATTTTTTTAATAGAATATTTTGGGGCATTTCAGGTTTTTTTTTTTTTAATTCAGGTCACACCATACAATTTCTTTTCTTCACTGGCAGATTTAGTCGTAGCAGTTGCTCTCAAAGTGCAGGGCCCCGAGCAAGTGAAGTGAAAGCGCCTGGTGGCAGGAAATTGCCTTGGTAATACTTTCAATCTAAAAAAAAGTTGGTAATGGGGCAGGGAATYGGTCCTGTGGGAAATAGGAGGGTTGAAAATAATTCACCAATGAGAAAATTGTGAACTGCTGAYGTTCAGCACTTAACTGGGAGAGAATTATGGGTCATCTTCAGCTACCAATCCCATACATAATCAAAAGGTGAGAGCAAAGAGGAACAGATAATTATTATTTCATATTTTTTTTTCAACAGAGGAAATTAAAAGAAAAGTCTGTCACCTACCAAAATCATGAGGATGTTTCTTAAGTCCTGCCCTTCAAACTAGAGTAAATCAGCGTAGACTCTTCCAACCCGATGGGTTTACACTGATTTCCACGGGCTGACAAGCTGACCCAGTGTTTTGGTGGCCATTAGGGTGGGATATTTCTTCATATTTATTTCCAGGAAAGCTCAAAGTTGGCCCTTGTGCCTTTGAGAAGCTGAATATATGTGGGGGAATGATGTTTTCACAAACTCCCTAAATCTGTTTTTTTTTCCCCTTCCTTTTTAATAAGAAGCAGGAGGAAGTTTTCCTGACCCTCTGAACGATGCCTGGTTTTGAATAAGCGCCATGGTATGCCTGTAAACAGAAGAAGAAAGCTCTTATGTGAAACTTCTTAAACTGCCGAGGATGAAGGACGGCAAATGGGATGCAAGCCAAGGAACATGACAATTAGCACAGAGAAAGTTTTCAGGGTTTATTCCATCACTCAGCACTTAAGGAGGCTTTGAAGGGGAAAAAGCATCCTTTTATATATTAATCCACTACTACTGCACTTTCCCCCTATCCATGGATTTAGTGCTTAGCTGCTAAATATCTATGTGCAGAGCTTTATTAAGAAGAGATGGTTTATTTTCTGAAAGATTCCCCATGCATTAGTTTATAGAAAGAGAAAAGGCAAAAATCATTTTGCCTGCTGCAATATCCACAGTTTAAGTGATGATTTACCCTTCCCCAGCTTTTAGTGCTTAAAGATCAGAGTAGGAAAAGCGCTAACACTTCTCATGCTGTTACTGCTGGTCATCATCTTCAGGTTGTGCTACTGATGATGAAATAACTTGGTGAGAGCAATGGGCAAATCCTGCAGATTTCACCCCCTTCCTGTCCTACCTCTACAGACTTCACATCTGAAAAGGCACCTTACTGTTCCAAGCTAAAATACCTCCTTTAAAAAGAAAAAGTTCTCCCAAGCAAGAAGCTGGGCAGCAGCAGGCGACAATTCCATGCCAGTATTAATTAACAAATTCCAAATGAACCATAGCTGGGGCTTAGCGGGATACGCTTGGAAAGCACGTGACCTTCTAAACCACCGGATTGAGCATCACGGGTGCCGCTTATCTTCTCATTTTTTAAATAAGACGAACAAAAAAGAAGCTGCTTTGGAAGGGCATCTCATTCCTGCTCTCCATGGCCCCGTTCCCAGGACCCTGTGCTCTTGCTCATCTCTTTATTCACAGGATGCCCCCTCCTTATCCCACTGCTCCGGGTTAGAGGCCACTTCTGCAGGACGGGATTTTTCCTCTAATTAAGGGCCGACATGTGCTGCTGTCCACGCTGTGCCCTGCATCAGCCGCCCTGTGACTTGCCACACGTCTCCACAGCGCCTTGATCCCGCGTCCCCACGACTCAGGATCTTTGCTGCTTTCCTGCAGCCGGCTCTGGCTGCAGCGTGTGGGGCAGAATCAGGTGGTGGCTGCATTTGGCAGCAATTAAACTGACAGACTGATCTTAATTTTGCCATTGCTCAGGTTGTGATGGAGCCGGGGAACTTGCCTGGGTGATGCCCATCAATCCTCTTCCACTTGGTGGACTCACTGCACCCGTGTCAGTCTGGGAACCCCATTTTCAGTGCAGAGCTTCCTTGCCTTTTCTTTCTGCTCCTTCACTTCCATACTGAGTTTAAAAGACACAAGGGTTAAGAAGAGGAATTTGTGCACCASCACAGGATAAACAGCAATGGGAGGTTGTGAACATTCACTCAGAGAGAAGAATTTCAAAGGAAAAAAGATGCTGTTGCAATGTAAGAAGAGCCAATATTTCAGGTCCTAACTTCAGCCATCACCCCGAGCTGATGGTGAGTAAACCGTGCGGAGCAGGAGCATCTTCCAAGGAAGATCTTCCAAGGCAGGTAAAGGAAAGGAAAGGCACTGAACTTAATAAAGCACCATGGACTAAGCACAAAAAATACCCAACAGAATCTCCCGGCAAAGAGAACTGCCTGTGCTGGACAAACTGGGGACTACTGCCACCTAAATAACAACTGCCATGGCCGCTGGGATCCTGAACATTTGGAGCTATTTTAATCAAATTACTATTGATTAAGGACAAACTGGAGGCTATTGAAGTTAATGGACATGTTTCCATTGACTTCAAAGGACTCCAGAGCAGCCCGTTACACAGCAAACAAGCAAGTATCGAAGAAAACAAAGCATTTTAGCCTAACCTGATCAGACGAAAGAACTGTTTTAGCAGAAACTTTTCCAAACTATTCTCCCCAAGACAAACATGGCACATCTCAAACAGTCAAAATTCAGAGATATGAGAAAAGTAAGGGAGCAGGTTTGGAGCAGCAATGGGTCAGCTCTGCGTACCACAGACCTTCAAACAGAAATTCTAGCTCTCCCAACCAACAAGGAAGTCCTTTTACTACAGTAAAGGGGAAAAAAGCTTCCCCAATTTTATATATGTATAGATACATGTACTAATTTCAATTTACTTTCCACTAATTTTTTTTTCTCTTAGAAAGGAAGAAAGACTTATTTTTCTAAGTAGAAAAATAATGTTTAATTTCTGGCTAAAATATACTATCTATCCTTTTGTCTTCATACTACCTCATCATCTTCTGTGATAGATAAAGGTGAAATCATGACAAGCAATTTCTTTAAACAACCCTTCCTCTTACTGCTTAGAACATTTGGTTCTCTTTAAAGCTATATATTGAGGTGACAGCCAGACATTCCATTTAAACCCACAAATCTTAAGGTCTAAAAGGTATAAAAGGGATTTATTTTTTTGTTTTAAGTTTTGCGTAGSAGAAAATCACACCTGAAGATCGGGTCATGACTTTACTGCCCTTCATAATATTAGGTTCTTCCCAGTGTTTGTGTAATCAAGTACTGAGTCTGTGGCAGAAAGAAGTTTCCTACCTATTAAAAAGCTAAACTGAGAGAAAGCTTTAAAGAGTTTGCAGGGTCTAGCAGCACCATACTGTTCTCAGCTCCASAATTACACTTTCTGGGCTTTCATTCATTCGAGAGGTTTAGCAGGTAAACAAATAATCCCACTTGAAGTCTCCTGTGCTCTTTGTGAATGGCAGCGAAGGCTAAACTGGTTTTCATCATCACACAGTCGTTAAGGAAAATTGAGGCAGAAGTTCAAGGAAGGAATATTTGTGTTCTGGAAGCTGATATTTCATCTTGACTAGCTCCTTATTCTGTCAGCATTCAATGGGGTAATTTGCTTAAATCTGTCAGTACAGGTATCAGAACCTGATCTTGTGGTTTTTTTTGGACAGATGAAGATTTGAGCCTCACCACTATCGAAGGCAGAAGAAAAAAAATATCCAACAAACGCTGAGCTACCAGAACACCAAGTCTTTTTGTAGGAAAGGAGACAGAACACGGTCCATCAGCGACTCTAGCTGCAAGGCTTTCTGCACACACCTCACACAAATGGAAATCATGGAAGAGATTTCCCTGGAAATCCCTGCGACTTTTCTGCCAGCTACATCACCACCCAGAGCCAGGACGCTTGGCCAGCGTCACCTCCGCGGCCACCTTAGGACATGTGCCAGGAGCACCAGCCAACATGCACTTATCTCCATGCTGCTTCCAACTACTGCACCTGGGATTGAAAGATATGGTTGAAACATCTCTTAATGTCCAGTTATGTGTAGATCACCAACGACTCGATCACCAATGGGGTTGATTAATCGAAATGATTCCAAAGGAGCTATTCTATCTATTGTATCGATAGGTATCTCAGGAGCCTTTAATCTGTAGGTAAGTGTGTAATAACAGCATATTCATATGTGATATTTCTTTTCTTAAAAGTTGCGACTGCTGAAGCAGGAGAAGCAGCAAAAGTAATGCTCCTTGTAAAAATAGCAACCCTGTCATTTTTCATAWGACAAGAATACAAAAAAGTCTGAAACCCAAGATTTGCCCCCACCCTTTCAGTCATAATATAAAAATGATCTAAAATGTTTATGCCAGAAGACAATTTGCAATGAC